TTAACTATTAAGGGTCTTATAGGACTCCCCAGGCCATCATCTAAAACATAAACATTTGCTTTAGGGCTGGGAACAGAGGTAGAGAAAACACAGAATATCACATCAAATGTGAATGAAACCCAGGACACTAAACATATTCCCAGCGTTTCTGGCATTTGCCACTTTGTCTTTGAAAGTGAGTGTATTAGACTTTATTGCAAATCTTAAAAATGCAGCTAGTTAGAGTACTGAAAGAAAAAGGCAAGTAGCACCGTTTCATTTAAGCAACAAGCCAATAACTGTGAACAGGGTGACAAAGTAGCAGAGCCAATGATTAAGTGACTTGACAAGATGCACTAATTCAATACAACATACTCCCAAATATCCCATCATCTCTGTCATGTATTCGGAACCCCAAGCATTAGAGGCTCAGAGCTTTGGATGCTGAAGAACCCTGAATTTTTAGGTTATTTGTTGATATATATGAAATCCCTGGGCTGTAAGTGATTTTTAAGAGACAGTTTGTGATTTGTCAAATCACTTTTCCTCTCTAAGGATGATCACAGAAGCATATGTTGAGGAAAAGCTTCCAACAACAAGGGTCCCTGAGTGAACATGCTGAGCAAAGTCTCCTGATATCCTGCATCAGACATACAGTATAAGTGAGGAATAAATTTTCATTGTGTTAGATCACTGACATTTTAAGCCAGTTTGTTACTTAGCAGAACCTAGCCTATTCTGACTGATACAACTTGAGCATTATTCTCAAATAAATGGTAATTGAAGTGATAAAAATGAAAGAGGTTGCTCAGGGAGTATATTTGCCCATTTCCCCTACTGGGAAAACTATGACCCATGAATGCAGAGTCTGCTTACTCATTGTTGTATCCACAGCCCCTGGCACACAAGGCACTCATAAAAATCAATAGAATTGAAAGGCATTGTCTCCTCTGGGGTAAACCTTTCTCATTCCCTTCCTCAAAATTCCTGAAATAACTCCTAGGTTTCTGAATTAACCACCACTCTTTCCTTGAACATGCACTTTCTTTATTCTAGCGTTCTTTTGCCTAAGCTGGTGCCAACCCTTAGACTCCAGGAATTATCTGAGTAGCACAGAGGAGAGAATAAAAGACTAGCCTCTTATTCTAAATGTGACATCACTATTAATATAAAAATTAATCTCGGGCCTTTTTAAACTGTCATTCTTTTTTCAGAGTGGCCAAGGAGCAAAGCCTCTTAGGCTAGAGAAGGCAGGAGGAGTTCAAACATAAAAGTTTCCCACCTCACAATCTTGTAAAAAACCTGGACCAGAGTAGTCCTTTACCAAAGGCACGTGAGGCTGTGTTCAGAGCCCAGACTGACCCAAGGGAGACCTCAGATCCTAGGACACTCCATTCAAATCCATCTAAAAAGGTGGTATGTACATACAATGGAAGATTATTCAGTCCTAAAAAGGAAGTCCTGCCACATGCTACAACATGGATGTAGCTTGAAGATATCATGCTAAGTGAAACAAGCCAGACACAAAAGAGAAATCTGTAGGATTTCATTTATATGAGGTCCCTTGAGTACTCAAAGCCATAGGGACAAAAAGCAGAATGGTGGTTACCAGGGGCTGCGGGGAGGTGGAAAAGGGGAGTAATTGTTTAATGGGTATAGTTTCAGTAATGCAAGATTTTAAAAATCTGGAGATCTAAGACACAACAATGTGAATATATTTAACACTATTGAACTGTACACTTAAAAAATGGCTAAGGTAATAAATTTATGTCATATGTTTTCTAACACAAGTTTAAAAAAAATCGAACTCACTTGAGCAGGCAGAAAAAAACAAACAAACAAACCAACAAAAAAATGCCATTCACAGCCCAGAGCTACAAACCAGCATGAAACAGGCTTTCCCATGTAATCTTGATTTTTGCCAGCCTGAGACTTCTATAAAGGGCCTCAAATATCTTCCATTTAGAAACAAGAGAATTCTCTTTTTGGCAACTGAATTACAGATCAATAAACCTGCATGCCCCAGCCCCCTCCTCCCTGTGTTTCCGCAATCAGGCTCCTCTGCTCTCCACAGCCTCTGAGGTCAGGAGGGCTAGGAGGGGTTCTGCCGAGGCCTGGACAGCCATCCCCCACCTGGACATCACAGCCCCTGGGTCATGCTGATCTCTCCTTTGGTGACTTCACAGGGGGTGGCAGCCTCCATGGCTTCATATCCTCTCCCAATGCCTTCTGCTGAGGCCAGCATCTCCCACCAGTGCCTGACCCCAGGTGGCGTTCTCCTGTGTCTGTCTTCCTCTCGGTGAAATCTAGCCAACCAAAAGCCTGGCTGTGTTCTCAGGCTCCTCACCGTGGCTTTGGATGCCCTCAACTGTTCCTCTCCAGCCTCCCTTTCCATTTTTTCCCTGCTTCCTACCCCTTGATGTCCCTTATGCACCAGACAAATAGAATTATTCATTCGTTTCTGTGTGTGCCCCTTAATTGTCCAATTCTGTGCCACCTGCATCACATTTTTTCAGCCACTTCTAATGTTCTTTGTTCCGAGCACCAAACATCCAAGGCAACTGTTCATGACGGCCTGTCTCAGATGCCAACTCGCCCCAAAGATGTACCCACCCATGACTCCCTCCTCTCCCTGAGGTCACTTGAGACCATCCCCACTGTCACTGTGCCTTATAGTCACCTGTGTTTTATCTCCTTCACTTGGGTGTTAGCTCCTTAAGAACAATCCCACACATTCCCGCAGCCTTTCTCAGCTGCCAAGCCACTTTTCAATGTTAACTAATTATTGCCAAGGGGAAAGAACCACTGCTGTGTTGCACTGGGATGGGGCAGGGTGCTGGGCCCCTACACACATTTTCTGTCTAGTCCTCATTATGATTTCTTGGGTGAGGTTTATTATGTCTATTGTATGGATGGAAGGCCTGAGGCTCAGAGGAGTCAAGTGCCTTTCCCAAGGCCACGTAGGAATGGAAGAGGAAGTACCTAAACCTAAATCATCAGACTCCTAGACCAACACAGTTCCTTTCTGCAAAGACAGAGTCATATCTGGGCAGCTATTTAACCCCCAGCACTTAGCACGGCATGTGATTGTCAAATTGATGAATGAATCAACACATCAACCATCATTTTCATTCATTAGCTTATTTAATAAGTATTTATGGTATGCCTGTGGTATGCCAGACACTCTTCTAGGTACTGGGGCGAACACAGCAGCAAATAAACCAGATGAGGTCATTAACCACACGGAACTTACCTTCTACTATGGAGAGATGAGCAGTGCCTAATTACTTACTGTAGGTTAGATGTTAAGCTGATATAAAGAAAAATAAACAGAGAAAGAGAAATGAGGGGAAGGGGGCTGGGGGTATGCTTCCCTCACTGAGGAGGTGACATATGATCAGAGACCTGCCTGAAGAAAGTATGACAGGGAGCCACTGGGGGAAGGACTGCTATGGGTGTGAACAGCAAATGCAAAGGCTTGAGGTGGGACCATGTTTGCTGGGTTCAAAGAACAGCAAGGGGTGAGCAAGGGGAGACCAGAAAAGAGAGATGAGCACGAAGCGGACCTGCAGGGCACCACATGTGCGCTGGCTTTGACTCAGTGAACAGAAGCTTTTGCGGGATTTGGAGCAGAGGAGTGGTGTGATCCTGCTCACTGGGCTGCTGTAGGCAATAAAACGGCCTTGGGAAAGTGGGAGCAGGTCCGGAGGCTTCAACCAGAGGGTGGGGATGGTGAAGAGAGAGGGAATGAGGTCAGACTCATGCTCTTCTCATGGAAGGGCCAATAAGTTCTGCCAATGGACTGGGGACAGGACGTGAGTGGCAGAGAGGCATCCAAGAGGTCCAGTCTGCATGGAGGCCGTTGACTGGACATGTCAACAGTGAGGGAGATGTCAGTGCTCTCAAATCCTTTTGGCTGCAAAGGCCTTTTTCCTGAGCTCATAAAGGTCAGGGAGAGCCTGGGGAAGGCCGTAGGTATTTTCAGAAAAGCTGGTGTCTCTCCAAGAAAGGGAAGATTCACTATTCTGATTCAGTTTCTTCAGAACTTCTATAATTTTTTGTCTAGCTCCCACAGGAGGCTTTGTGTAGAGTTGCTCTTGGCTTGAAGATCATTAAGGCTGGCTCATCACAGAGTCCTGATAGACCGATACTTCTATAACAAAGGAAGCAAAGGACTATAAACTAGCCACGCCAACAGAAAGGGATGGGGAGGGAAGAGGAGGAGATGAGGGCAGGGGAGAGTGGAGGAAAGAAGAAGAGAAAGGGGCGGGGTAAGAAGAGTAATGAGAAGATTCTATTCACAAGAGCAATAAAATGTAATATACCTGGGCATAAACTTAACTAGAATGTGTAGCGGCTATGTGTAGGAAATTGTAAAGCATTAAGGAGGTTCATAAACAGCTGGATAAGTGGAAAGTATACCGGGGGTAGCACTTATTCTAAATATGCAATTCTCTACACATAAACTTAATGGCATAACAATCAAAATTCCAAGAGGATTTTTTTTTCAAATCACTTAATGTCGTGGTTTGAAAAAGGCAAGAATAGCTAATATTTTTAAAGAATAATGAAGGAAGACAAGTACTGACAGGCATTACAATAGATTATAAAGCTATAATAATTTTTAAATTGTTGGGCTAGCCCAGAAATGCCAAATCAGTGGCAGAGAATTACTAACCCCGATGGAGAGGCAAAGGGAAGCTGGGATGTTCACAGTTTGTCCCCAGCCTCATGGTTCTGCGGCACTTTTTCCTTTCCAAGCTTAAATGCCTTGGATTTTCAGCCATCTAGGCTGCCATCATGAAGCCCACTTATCGGAAGAGGAAACAGAAGCCCGTAAAGATGGCAAGACTTGTCCAAGGTGACCTGATGAATTTCTGGCAGAGGTCTGACCCCAGGTCAGGATCCTGGCTCCCAGCCAAGGGGCTGTCCTATGGCCTTTGTGCACTGTCACAATGACCTCACAAAAAACCAGGACACTGGGCTATCTGTGAGCTGTGGCTCAGTGTCCCCTTGGGTTGGTGCAGCAGGGTGGGGTGGGAGATGGGAGAACCCTGTCATCCCCTGCCCTGCACAGAGGGGAGCCCAACAAGGCTGTGGGCTGGGAAGTTGATTTAAGTCCACAAATACATGTTGATGAAGTGCCCACTAAATTCTAGGCACTGGTAGGTCTTCAGTAGCCCCAAAGCCCACTCAGGATCATGTATGCTTTCTTCTTTGTCCCACTCCACTCATACAAGGGGCATTCTCTTCTCTCTCTTGTTCCTGGGCCCCTTACACCAAGGGGTAATGTGGCCTAATGGAAAACATGTCCGATTTAACATGGACAGTCTGGAGTTCTGATCCTGGCCGTGGCACTGACTGATTCTGAGGCTGTGGCTTCACCTCCCTGGGGTGTGGACCTGTGGGAAGACATAACACTCTTTTCCCAGCCCAGCTCACATGGCAGCTGTGAGTCTCCAGCAGAGTTCAGCAAACTACGGCCTTTAGGCCCCATCGGGCCTACCCTGCTTGTGGCCATCCATAAGCTATGTGTGGATTTACATTTTTAAACGGCCGGAAGAAAAATCTAAGGAAGGATAACATTTTTTGACTCATGAAAATTATACGAATTTCAAATTTCAATGTCCATAAAGTTTTACTGGATGCTGAAATTTGAAATTCGTGTAATTTTCACATGTCAAAATGACACAGCCACGCCCAATCATTTCAGCATCATCTATGACTGCTTTTGTGTTACACCAGCAAGGCTGTCATTCCAGAGACCAGATGCCTGCAAAACCTAAAACATTTACTATCTGGTCTTTATGCAAAATGTCTGCTGACCCCTGGTATAGAATATTAAAAGACTGTACTGAAAGTTGATTTACACATGGAGACTGGGCCAAGGAGGGTCTGACAGGGATTGCAAATCCTGTCTCTCTGAACTGATGGATCTCAAGAGTTGCTGGTCTGAGGGATCTACTGGATTATCATCTCACAGGGTAGGTGATACTAGGGTCTACCAAGGAGAAAAGAGGGAGAAAGGCAATGCCCACCCAGCCTGCAATGTGAGTAAACCTGCTCTGGTAGCTATGAGAGGCTACACGGCCAGCCCACCCTCACCCTCAGATGTTACCCAGCCCACACTCAGCATCAGGCATCACGGCCAGCCCACCCTCATTCTCAGATGTCACCCAGTCCACTCTTACTTTGCGATGTCACAGCCAGTCCATCCTCACCCTCCAATGTCACAGCCAGCCCACCTTCACCCTCAGGCATTACCAGCTCACTCTCAGCCTCAGATATCACCCCCAGCCCACCCTCACCCTCATACCCACCCATCCTTATTCTCAGATGTCACCCAGTCCACCCTCACCCTCCAGGGTCACAGCCAGCCCACCCTCACCCTCAGGCATCACCCAGCTCACCCTCAGCCTCATACTCACCCACCCTCATTCTCAGGTGTCACCCACTCCACCCTTACTTTTCAATGTCACAGCCAGTCCACCTCACCCTCAGGTGTCACCCAGCCCACCCTCACTCTCTGACGTCACAGCCGGCCCACCTCCGGTCTTCTTCCAGGACTACCTCAGTGGTAGACATGGCCTCCCTCAGAGCAACGCCCCACCCAGCCCCGCCCCCACACTCACGTGATCTCATTGTTCATGTCAGTGATGTCTATTCTGTCCAGGAACCAGCCTGCTCTGTTGCCTGTGTTGTCGTGGCGAATCCGAATCTTGGTCAGGGCTCCCAGGTCAATGGCATAGATGGTGAAGGTATCTGTCTGGAAAGGGCCAGGGAACACTCAGTGGGGTAACACCCACCCTTGCCAACCTGGCCATCAGCTCCACCCTCCCAAGGACCAGGGCAGCCAGAGGCCAACGGTGAGACCCAAAGCAACCAAGCGTGGGGATGATGGAGAATGTCACTCATTAGTCTGGTGTTTGGTCTGCATGACTGTTTCTCTAACTTGTCCCTGCCAGGGGATCTTCTCACTCTCATTATGTCCAGGAAGGTGGAAGGAGAGAAGAGTGAAGGCGACCTTGAGGGAGGCAGAAGAGAAGATAGGTTGGCTGGCTGGATGCCTACATTTGTGGTGGGTGTTTTGTGCGTAGGCGAAGGGGTGCACTGAGATCCTCTGCTATGTGTCCACATGTGTGCATAATCTGCTTCAATCACATATTTGCATTAAGTACCTGCTATGAGCTGGTGCTCTGCAAATCCAAAGTGACTGACAGAAATTGAAGACGGATTTGGCCACCATTCAGGTGTGAAGAGGGCATGTGGACCACAACGTGTGAATGTACGCAACTGCTCTGTGCACTGGAGGAAGCAGCCCACGCCAGGGGGTCTTCTTGGATATCATTTTTTTTTTACTCTTAATTTTGAAAAAGATTTAAAATCTATGGAAAACTTTCAGAAATAGTATGATGAAAGCTCATATGCCTTTGTTTAGTTTCTTCACTTATTTGTAACATTTGCTTTCTCACTCCATGTCATCTCTTGTGCTCTCTCTTGCTCTGTTTTTCTAAATCATTTGAAAGTAAGTAGTAGATACCATGATTCTTTAACCCTAAATTCTTCAACATGGACTTTCTGAGAACAAGGATATTATCATATAATCACACTGTCATGATCCAATTTAGAAAACTTAACATCGACATAATGCTATTATCTAATATACAGTCCATGTTCAAATTTTACCAATTGTACCAGTTATGTGGTCCTCTATAGAAATTTGTTCCCAATCCAGAAATATGTAGCTATAATTTTTTAAGGAAAACACTTAAATAAACTACATTCTCAAGTCACGGGAGAGATTCTTTAAAGAAAAAGCAGGGAGCCCCCGAAATAAATCAAGCAATGAGCCCGGAAATACGTTAATGAATCTAGTTCATTTTTCAAAAATCTGTGTTAATGAGAGAACTTGGCTTTGGGGTAAAGGCAGGAATAGGAAGGGTGAGATAAGAGAGAGTTTTCTAGCCAGGGGATATTGTAAAACCTTGAAGGACAAGACTGAAGGATTCATGCTTTTCCCACTACACCTGGAAGAGTAAGGAAAGTGCATTTCTTTTCACAAATTCCCACTGCATTAGGATACAGTTCTGGCTTCTCAGCCTGTCTTTTAAGCCTCTCATGACCCCACCCACCACATACCCTAAATTGGCCTTATCCAAGCTTATCCACTCAGGCTCAGCGCTGATCACAGCTCAGCTGGAAGACTCACTGTCCCAAACTGACCTTCCCCATTTCCACCTCCGTTATCTTTGCTCATGCAGTTCCGTCTTCTGAGAACATCTTCTACTGTCATCTTTCTACATCTATACCATACTCACCTGCCAAGGCCCAGTTTAAGTTGCTCCTTCCCCCTACTTTTCCCCAAAACACTATCTTGCAGCGAGGACTTCCTCTTGAACCCCTGGCTCCCCTACTGAGTGCCCCAGCATCTGCCACTCAGTGCCATTCTCTGTTCCCGTGGGTCAGCTGGCCTGTGGGCTCCATGTGCTGAGACCCTGCCTGCAATTCTCTTATAACCCACCCCACCCCAAAGTATCAGTGTAACAGAAGAGGTACTGCCATGAAACCTGGTGGTATGAACAAGCCACACCACTAGACACAGCAGCCATTGTGCTGGGATGGGCTGCCATGGGAATCTCAGAGGCCACCACACCCACAGCATCCACCCAGGGGCCAGAGACCCTCACCCTACCTGCCCCTGCTCAAATTTGTTGGACTTGTCTGACTTCTTCAGGGGTCGTTCGCCCGTGTCCCCATACTCCTCCCCGTAGATGGTTAGGTAGACGTTGGCATCAGTGCCAGCCTTGGGCACATTCCCTGTGATCACCTGGACCTCATAGATGTTGGCTGGAGACACAGAAAGATGCAGCATGGAGGGCCCCAGGGCCTGGGGGTGGATGGATCTGAGGCACAGCCTCTCAGATCCAGCCAGATCCCGGAGCAGGAGGGATCTTCAGATGCATCTACACTAACCTGGGATTAAACTGCCCCTCCTCCCAACCCAGGACTCCTTCACCATGGAGCCAGCGGGGAGCCCTCCTACTTCATGTCCCCCCAGTTAGTTGTACTGAGTCACATCAATGCTCCTCCCAAAGTCATTGATTCCTGCTGAGAACCTGAGGGTAAGGGCCATGCATATTCCCAAACAGCAGTGTCAATGGTGGCATTTCACATGCAGGTCAAGAGAGCTATTTGGGAACCATGATGGATGCCCACCTATTTGGCTTCCATGTGAGGGGGATCTAGGCCCCCTGCCCCCATGGGCTCCCTTTAGAGGAATTGTCTGACCCCTGACCCCTGACCCCTGACCCCTGACCCCTGCTGCTTACGCTCAGGACCCAGCTTGCCAGCCGGCACCAGCTCCACAACAAGTTCGTTGTCCTCCTTGCCCCGGGCCAGCCAGCGATGGGCTTCGAACTTGTGCTGCTCAATCACCTCCTGCATCCCTGGCCCAAACTCCTCCTCTTCCTCTTCCTCCTCCTCAGTCTCCTCCTCTTCCTCCTCATCTTCCGAGGACTCCTCTGATGAGGATGACTCCTCCTCCTCTCCCTCATCCTCTTCATCGCTGCCCTTCCTCCTCTTCTTCTTCTTCCTTTGCAGCTTGGCCTTCAGCCGCTCCTTCTTGAGCAGCTGCCGCAGCTTGTCCTTCTCCTTCTTCTTCCGGGCCTCCTCCTCTGGTGTGAGGTCCACCTCCCGCACCACCAGGTGCCGCAACCACACAGTGTCCACAAACCAGCTGGGCCCAAAGCCCTCACCCGTGTGCCCGAGCCGGAGCTTGTAGACCTTGCCCACGTCGGCCGCCTCCAGCTGTTTAAAAGTCAGGGCAGTGGCTGTGGTGGCCCCAGTGTCCTCCCTGCCTCCCCCAAAGAGCCAGGTGCAGGGCCTGTTTGCTGAGCTGCAGAATGGAGAGGGCTGGGGCCTCTGTGCTTAGACCCTTCCACCAGTTCCCTCTCTCCAGCCACACCTGTGCTGGTTCCACTGGGATCACCTGGCCCCATCCTCCAACCAAGTTTATTTCTTCCACCCTCTGTGGTGATCAAGGTGGTCTCCCTCTTCTTCTCTCTTAAACACACATGTACAGACACACACACACACACACACACACACACACACACACACGCCCCACTCATTCCTGTGATTTCTATGCCCATATCATGGCTCATACAGCTTCCTTACTTGTCCTGCCTTTATACCTTCCTCTACTTGTAGCTACAATCTATTCATTCAGGTTCCTATGTTTCATTACTTTTATTTTAATTTTGTGCCCCTGTGTTCTCTTTAAAAATTTTTCAGTGTTAACCATGTATAAAAACAAAAGTGCTCCTTTTCAAAAACAAAAATTTCACCCACATCCACAGAGGCCCAAGCTCCCTCCTCTCCAAACCCTGAGCACATGGTCTCAGCCTGACTGTCCCCTCCCCAAGAGCACAGAAGGGTCCCAGGGCTTAGCTCTGGTGCTGGTCTGGCCTGGATGCCCCCTTCATCCTCATGAGCTAGTCTCTGCCCTCATGATGATGAGTTCCTTAAGGGCAGAGACCATCATTTTCAGTCTCTCCCAGGATGGGCATAGCACACAACTGGCTCAAAGGGTAGTGTTGACAGCATCATCCACTCTAGATCATGAGATCTGAGTTCTTCCTGAAGCCCAGGCTCTGAGGAAGGACCCACATTGAGGTGGGGTCTGGCCTGTCCCCTGCAGCACTCAGGAGAGGGCTCACATGGGGGTTGTTGCTAGTCAGAGTCCTCCCAGGCTTCCTGATGCTGATGAGCCCCTGTCTGGAGGTTGACCCTTCTCAAATCCTGGTCCCACTGGTTCTTTCACTGAGTCTCAGGGCAAACTGAGGCCAAGGCTGTCCCATGAGTTCCACAGTGTCCTACAAGTCAAGTCCAGACCTACATGAGAACTCAGGCCTTCTGACTTCCTGTTTATGAGTCCACAATGCAGCCAACCCACCTTTGCCCAAAAATCACCAGTCATGATAGAGCCCAGGGCCCCTGGGAGAGCAGAATTTATCCTTCTCAGATACTTAGGGGAGAGTCTCTGGACCTGGTAAGTCAATTCTTCAGCACAATAGCTCTCCTCTTCAGCGTTTCCCAGGTAACAGCACACCTGCAATCAACCTTCCCAAGGAGGCCAGCTTGCTGCACCTCTGGCCTCCCTCACATCTGTCTGCCCAGCTGTCCCTTCACCACCACCACATCCAGTGAATTGGCCTCCAGAAGACATGCTATCCAGTTCCATCTCCATATCTGGGGACTCATTCCCAAATGCATTCCCTGACACTGACGCTTGATCATTACAGGAACTGCGAAGTCAGCCAGGCAGGTATTATAAGCTAGGTCTTAACTGATGAGGAAGTGGAGGCTCGGGGAGCTAAAATACCTGGGCCTCTGCCTTCTCAGCAGTGTATGAGGGCATCTGATTCAATGAGGCTCCCTCCATCTTGGATATTCCAGACACTTGTGACCCTCGTCCAGGCCCCAGTTCAGCCAGGACCATCTTTCCTGGGCACTGAGCAAGGACTCTTTGCTGAAGGTAAGGTGCTCCTGGCATGCAGAAACACAGAGCACCCAGCATGAACATGCTGCCTGCACACATACATCTGCACATGAGCATGCACTCTCACATCCGCAATAAAACATTCATGTTTCCCCCAGGGATGCCACCCTTGCATCCTCCTCTCTCGCCAACAATATGCTCACATTCTCATCTCTTTTTTCCCTCTATCGAAAGACTTGGAAAGGAAGAAAGGAGACCCGGGACATGCAGGAAACAGCCACAAAATTCCAAGTCTCCCAGTGTCCTGGCTGGGAAGCATTTCCTTCTCATCAGGCTTCAGAGAACTGTAGACTCAGAGGCCACAGGGCTAGGAATGAGTGGAGGAACCACAGGCTTGGTGCCATCTTTTGCCAGATTCCAGTCACCTGCCCCCGTGGTTCTCAGGATCGGCAGCATGTTAGTATCCCTGGAGGAGCTTTTAAAAGTTCACCCAGAAAACATATCCCGACCCCAGAGGTTCTGATTTGCCTGGTAAGGGGTGTGCACCAGGCAGCACTTTTTTCCTGAAGCTCCCCAGGTGATTGTAACATGAGCACGGGGTGGAAACCACTGATCTAGTCCAATCCCTTTATTTCAGGCCGAAAGCTTAAGTCTGGAGAGAGGAAGCGTTTTCTACCCAGCTGGAGGGAGGCAGCCCATTCTCAGGTGAGTGTTGACCGAGGAAATTAGCATACCTAGGGAAGCAGCTTGGTGTCCACTGGGCCTGCTATTGGCACCACCCGCTACCTGACCCCACATACCTGGAATGTGTCCTTGGACGCCCGT